GGTTTAGCTCTTTAATTACTACTTCCATCTGAGCACATTTGTTTTTTAATTAGAATTGTGCAACGTCATACATCTGCTTTGCATTTAGGACTGTAAAAATCCAGAAAGTGAAGCTCATTTGCTGCAGTTCATTTTGCAGTCATTTGTTCTTAGGGCAAGGGAAATTTCAACTCCAGCTAGTGATCTGTTTTTGAAGAACCAGGATACTGCATCACGAAAGGGATCAAGAGGAAAAAAGTAATTATGGTTCATAAAATGTATTTTTAATTACTGTTTCATAATTATTTGAGCTCATATATAGTCATGATATAAAAATCAGTTTTCTTGAATAAATATTTAGTATTCAGTGTAATTTATATGTTTTTGAGGCTTTCTATTAATCTATGAAAGTAAAGCTAAAATTAATAAACTCTAATAATGTAAAATTTTGCTAAGGTGTCATACTGTACATTGAACAGAGCAGGCCCATGTGTGTGCCATACATCATACCTGCTTGTCTGTGACCTGTCTTCAGCTGATTACAGCCATGGCTCATGATCTGTGGCTTTTACAGTTATCTTGATAAGATACCGCTCAGTGGTCTGCAGCTTGTCCCCTGCGGCTGGTGGCTGTCCCTGGAGCTGTGGTGGCCGAGGGTGACGTAACCTCTCTAATGGTCCTTGCTTTTCACAGAGCAATGTCTCATCCTGGAGACACTGACTGCTCTTGGTGCCAGATTTCTGTGATCCAGGCTGAATTATTTTATTTAGCCAGTCACTACTTTTAAATGACATTAGCTAAAAGTAAATAGTACTGAAGTCTGAAATACTTCTAGCTCCTTCACTGGAAAGCCGTAACTGTTCCAGGCAAGGTTTTATGTGAGTTTTATTTTCTGCATGGAGTATTTTGCCAAATTAGAAGCCCCTTGAAGTCATCATTTATGTATAGTCAATTTCATTTCTTTCAGAGATTGTAAGCAGTTGTCTCTATGTATTGCTTTTGCATTGAATATACTTCAATCTTTATCCAAAAAGGTTTTATGAAATTTATTCCTCCCAACTTCAGCAGCTCCTGTGGCGCCAGGCATTGAACAAGGCTTGTGAGCTTGTTGTCCTCTTCTTTCAGTGGCCACTATTCTGAGGAAACACCAAGGATGGGAGGAGAAAACACACAAAATTATGTACAGATAGGGAAGGTTTAAATTTGGCTGTAGGACTGAACTGAAGAAAGGAAAGGGGGAGGATGATTACCCCTGGAATTGAATGCCAGATGCCGTAGTTCCTGTGAAACATGGAGCCAAAATCTGTCTGAGCAAATGGAGGCTGCAGCTTCCTACTGCCACCCGTTCGTCTTGTAGGGTGCCAGGAGCAAATCTGCATTGCTAAAGCTAAGATTTGAGCCATGAAAGTATCAGTATGGTATCATGTAATGGGATTTTGATTTTAATTTTAATTAGCTAAAAATACAGTAAATTACAGGGTTTGATTGTTTTTTAACCATAGTTTCCGTTAAAGAGTGTTAACACATTCTTTGAAATCAAACACTTGACTTTGAAAGCTGAGCATTCAAAAAAAGTTGGAAAATGTTGAAATGAAGATTGTTCAAACTGTTTTAATTTGTCTCTTGCATGTATGCATAACGATAAGATCTTTAATTATGTGATCACATAATTTTTTCACAGGAGGAATGCTGCCCAGAGAGTAAATCAGGGGTGTTTATTAAAGGAAGCTGTTGCCTCCAGAACCCTTGCCTTAATTGCTGGAAAGCAGAGTAATTTAAGTAGAGGGCTGCAGGAATCAAAAGCATTCTCTCCAGGGCGTTTGAAAGCTCCACAGAAAGACTAGATTTTACTTTCTCATTTTGAAAGAGGTTTTATGTAGTGCTGGAAGATCACTTCTTTGGAATTGGTCTCTATGTTTCTGGTTGCTGTGGCACATGGGCCAAGGTACCTGGGCTCTGGGCACAGCTGCATTTGGAATGAACACAAGTGTGCTTTGAATGTGTAAAACATTGGATGAATGCAAAGTTCTCTGAAAAGTACAGCCTGAAGTGCCCTGCACTGACGTGGCAATGCCAGGATTGCCAGAAGACTTTCTGGGTTTTAAGCAGCCAGGTTCTAATTTGCAAAATGGAGATAGCATCACCCTACTACAGTTCAGTTAATTATATGGGGTTTTTTAAGCATTCTTTCTGAATACCATGTAAGGGAATGATATAGAATATAAAATATATAATCATGTAATTGTACAATAAATAGTTACAATATATTGCATGTAAGCATATGCCATACAACACCATACATTATAATATATGATATGGAATCCCATTCTGGCTAACATCCTATAAGGGAAACTTTGGGTGCACTGCTGGCTGAAGGGAATAAGAAGTTTGAGCAACCTCTTTGCAATCTAAACAAATGAGACAGAAGGCTACAAATACTCAGATCACTCCATAAAACTGAGCATTCCCTTTGTATTTGCTATCACTGCACTAGATGAGGCAAGGATCTTGCCAAAGGAAAGCAGCATGTAATAATTTCGTTAAAATCGTGTGTAGGTATATGAGTGCTCCTGTCATTTTAAGTGCTTGACTTGCTGCTGTGTTTGGTGGTGGGTTGCCTGGCCACCCCAAATGTGCTGAGACCTTTTAGAGGCAGCTTTGGCAGATTTATTTTTCCTAATGCATTTTGGGGAGAGAAAAGAAAAAATGTTAGAACAAGATTTCTTTGCTTTATTGTCTCGCCTTTTTAACAACTGGTTTTTAACGAAAGAAACTGAAATCCTGAATATCAGTTCCTTGTTTTTTATAAGGAAGGAGGAGTTTTTAACTTTTGCAGAGTTGGCACTTGAGTATAGTGAGGATGTATGGAAATGTTTCATGGTGAAGAGAGCCCTAATGAATATATCATATCTGGAATGTATTTAATGAGGAAAGAGGAAACATTTTTTCTCCATAAGTCTAATTCTTGACAAACTGTTTGATTATGGTTTTGTTTTCCATAGAATCACTCTTAAGTCTAATATAAGGAATACCACCTAATTCCCCAACTAACAGGAAATTTATTTTAAAAAATAAAGTATTCATTGTCTACATCTGAACTTATCCCTAGAAATTTTGATCCCCCCTCTTAATTATCTCTTTTATGTGTGGCAAATATAAATGCGTTGCTATTTTTATATTAATAATACTCTGCATCTAAGCCTCAGAGTAAAACCCAATCAAGAGAAAAGGCTAAAATTATTTTCCACTTCCTGTTGTTTTATGTCTGTTTTCACATTTTTTTAAAGTTGCATTTACCATTATTCAGGAGAATAAATTCATAAATCTCATCTGCTTCGGTGAGGGAATTTGTCTCCTGTATTTGTATGTCTCCTGTATCACACAGTATTATAACATCACTTACAGTAGCTATTTTACTTTGCAAAATCAGTTAGAGGATATTAAGTGAATATGAATTTATCAATTGAAATGGACCAGATACTAGTTTTTAGGCAACTTGCCTGAATTTGCTGTTTTAGAAGATGTCAATACTATGAGTAGTGGGGAGTAACTACATTTTTCAAATAGCACTGTGTAAAATATGGAAACATTGAATGATTGTTTCAAATTGAAAAGGCTCTTTTGTCACTCTCATGCATATTTTAGATGAGACATTTTTCTCCTGAATTGGAAGGAAATGAGATGGTAGCCTATCTGTTCATAATGTTACTCACTTTTTCTGGTTACATGCATTTTTAAATGACTAAAATCTCTACTTGAAAAAAAAAAAAAAAAGAAGAGCTAACTTCAGAAAAGCCAGAGTCTGGTTTGCTATTTATCTACTTTAATAGGCTGTATTTCACATGAAAGAATCAGTCTGGCTTCTTGTGACCTAACAGTGACAGGATGCAGGTATCATAAAGTACCATGATTATGTGCCTCCCAGGTATAATTCTGATAGCCATTGAAGGAGTGCTGCAGCCAAGTCTTGTTGGTTTATCCATCTATAAATTTATTCTCTTTCTTAGACTGTATTTTGAAGCAGTTTAGTAAGAAGTTCAAACTTGGCAGTGGAGAAATAATACCAATGTAGATCTGTTTCATAGTTCAACTTCAGTGTGAGTAACACGACATTTAAACAAATGTCTTGTTTAGACATTTAGACAAAAGATTGTGAAAGTAATTTTTTCTTGATACAGTTTACTTACAGTTCCTTACATTTTAAGCTGAAATGACCATAACTGATCTTTTGTGCCTAAAAATGAAGACTGTTATAATAATAATCTGCTCACATATGACAGAAACATATATATTGTCATGTAATCCTTTGTCCAAAGACTTACAATGTGTTCTCCAGGCTAAGAAAGTAGAGTTCTTACCTTTTCATTGTAACTGGGCAAATATTACATGAGATTCCCTATCTAAGTGATCTCTGTGATTTTTCCTTTCACATTCATCCTGCTGAGGCTTTAATGGGTGTAGCTACAAGAGCTTTTAGCTTGGATCAGGAGCAGTTAAGCCATTCTGAATTCAGTCTCATTATTGTTCCCACTTGTTTCCCTGTGATCCCACAGCTGGAGCGTGGGGTGCATTGGTTCCAGGAGGAGGTAGGGGAAGCTGGGCTGGGGGAGCACACAGGGTGTGCCTGCAGGAAAGGGCTGCTCTGTGGGACCCCGAGAGCAGCTGGGCTGCCTTCTCTAAAGGGTGCTCAGCCTGGGCCCACGGGGTCTTCAGTGCCATAATAATAATAAAAGAGACATTTGGCAATGCTGGCATCCACATTGGAGTGATCCAGCTGGAATTCTGTTGCTCCACTGTGGCTCCAACTCTGGAGCTGGCCGCTGCCTTCTCTTGTGCAGCCTGATACTGGGTGTGCACAGTGAGAGGTGGTGGGAGCCCAGGAGCTGTCAGGTGTGCCAGCATTACAGCCAAGCTGCTCACAAGGCAGGGCCATCCCTGTGGGACAAGAAGCAATAATTATGTGACCCCATGCTGTCAGTTAAGAGTGCATTGATGAGTATTTTGTTTTTGTCTCTCCACAGTAACCAATTATAACAATGTGGTAGAAGCAAACTCAGACTCAGATGATGAAGATAAATTGCATATAGTGGAAGAGGAAAGTGTAACAGATGCAGCAGACTGTGATGCTAGTGTGCCAGAAGATGACTTGCCAACGGACCATATAGTGTTACCAGAAAACAGTGAAAGAGAAGCGAGTACAAACACTTGTTGGGAAGATGAAGGTATGTTCATTTCTACTGATGATACTATAGAAAGAAAGTTTTCTAAAATAAAGATTCAAGAGAACTGGTTTTGGTTCCTTTATTACTGAAATAACATGTAGGATTCACAATCAAAAAAGAGGTTTTATAACATATTTATTTAACATACTTTATGTTCTTAATTTATTATTTGAAGCAGATTCAGAGGTGCATTAATTCTGTTGTTTAGTAGGAGCTTCCAGACTGCAGATGCAGCATTCTAAAGGCTGATTAAAGACTTGTTACTTGATCTTGGTTTTTTCAAGTCTTTGCCTGGCAGGTTTCTGCCAGAGCTCCCTATAAGGTTCAGGATTGACTTAGCTTGGGGAGTAAGCAGTAAACAAAAAACCTGAAAAAAACCCTAATCAGATGTTAATTTCTCTCTTTTTCCTTGTAAAACACAGGCAGAAAAAATAATTTTTAGATTATTAGTTTCAGAATTGTCTATATAAGTCATAATGAATCATTATTTTGGAAATACTGGAAGGAGGTTAGTGTTGCACATATTATGCAGCAGGTTTAGAAGCTGAAAATTTTAAACAGACAGGAAATGGGCCTTTTTTTTACTGTGGAACCAGTAAGTTCCACAGTAAAAAGAAATGAGTTTCATAATATCACACAGCATGCTTACTTTTGAGCCAAATTGGGATAAATGCATAAATTAGTGGAATTTACTGTGGAATTTGGCCTTCATGCCTTGAAAGATACAGAATGTTTTTCAGCATAGCTGAACTCCAGCCACAATTCCTAGCATCCACCTTTGAACAGTGGTGGTTTAATACATGGTGCATGACCTCACATCTAAATAAACTGAAAGCACTCATATGGCCCCTAACTGCAGTCCAGCTGAGAGAGAGCAGCTGAGAGTTCAGAGAATAGCATCAGCTCAGCCTGTTTTTACATAGCTGCCACTGCCAAGGTATGCTGTGCTGGGAAATGAGTGTTTTGGAGCTGAATTATTAGATAGGTAATTTTCTTAATTCTCCTGTAACATCTTTGCTCTCCTGCAGGATTCAGAAATTGTGGTTACATTAAAGTGGGCTCTGGGTAGGCTTGAACCCTTTGAGCACAGGTGTAGGAAATCTGAAAAGGGGAAGGAAGAAGAGCACTGGCTCCCAGACATTTGGGATCAAGACCTCTTGGACTGGATGCTTTCTGGAGATGTACCCATCACACAGCATCTGGGGCAGCTTTCTGGGGGTTTTCAGCACTCCAGACATGTGATGCCATCTTTTTTGACTCCTTATGTGAAACATACCATTTTTAACCTTTAAAAATTTGCTTGCTAAATTTCTAACTTCTCTAATTTTAAATTCTTCTGTGGTTGAAGATTTGCAATGTAAGCAATGTTTCTCTGCTTTAGAGTTTGCTAATGAAGACAGAATTTCATTGGTAGTCAGACAAAAGATTAATCAATTGCCATACAAGCTTGCTCAACAACCACAGATTTGCTCTGTAAAAATTACGTATTCTGAAGCCTCTTTTGTAGCAGTCTGGAAGGGTTTTTTAATTTGAGAATAGGGGTTTTTTAATAAATAGTTGAAATTTCTGGCAATTGTTATATGAGAAAAGTGAGGCTACGTTAGGTTTTATGGAGCTTTGATTTGCTAGGGTAGAATACTGTTTACTCTTTTGATAGCTTTCCTAGAAGGGAAGGTATGAGCTGAAAATCACATCATCAGTTTTGGCTGCATGTTAGAAATATGAAGAGAGAGGTACTGAATACATGATCTCTCACATACAGGGAAATGTGCTGGGGTAGATGGTGTGCAACTATCTTCAATACTGGTGATTACCTTTAGAAAAATATACTTTGCAGCAGTTTTAGTAAGTTGTGTTTCACCAGTAAAGTAGTACTCAGTGGTTCTGGGTTTAGCTTAACTTGACTGAATGAGTTTTTTGCATATTTATTCTGTTCACGAATTGCCCAGAATAGAAACAACACACATAACATTTCTGTATCAGATTAGTTTCCTTCCGTTTCCAGTCATTCTAACTGAATTTCTAAAAGACCCTAGGAACAGGTGTTTTAAATATAAGGTGTGTTTCTCAAGAGGTTTAACTGAAACAGTCCTAGGGGTTTAAAAAAGTGAACCACATGTATCCTGTACATGTTGTTGACAGTGTGCCAGCATTCATGTGTGCAATGATTCTCTAATATGATTTTCCTTTGCTTTAGTTAGAAGCAAAAACTATGCTACAATTAAAAGAAAAAAAAAAAGGCAGAGTTAAACTTATTGTATTAATGCTCTTAAAAGAGAATTATTATGTACTGTAAGTATTTAGCAAATCTGGAGGTCTCAGGACTGAAACTAAGATGTCTTTGAAAAAAGTACGTGTTTTATGTTTATGTGCTTTCTGGAATTCAAAAATTCCTTGAAGTCATCAGATTTTAGGTTGAGCCTATATGCTCAAAAGTGTGTGCTGGCATTTGGTGGGTTGTGTGTGGCATGTTTTTGATCAAAAAGCAAACAACCAGTCAATATTGCAAGCTGTAAATAGTGCTTGCTACATGAATATCAGAAAATTAGCTCCGAAGAATTTAAATTAGAAACTCTCTTGATGGCTTTGGAATTCATTTCCTTCTGTGCAGATAAAGACTGCAGTGGAAATTTCAGTGAAGTTTGTCTTTCTGCCTACAGCCAAAATTTCCACTTTGCTAGTGGTTTCAATTTGATCAGTTATCTTAGCCATGCAGAGATCCTTACTGTCAGCCAATGTCAGTAGTTGTCAGGCATGTTTGCTGCTAGTTAACACTGTCCCCTGACATCTGAAAATCATCAGCATTTAACCCTGGGAAGCCCCAGTGTGTCTCTGAGCAGTAGCTCATAAGCAGTGATGAGATGTAGAAGCCCAAGAACTTGTTTTACACTATCTGGTATGTCCAGCTGCAATACCAGGATGGATATTCATGACCTAGATGCTATTTGTGGAGACCTCTATTTAAACTGTCATTTAGCAGGTAGCTTGAATTTCCTCTGGAACTCAGAGCTGTGACTTCTGCTTGGTGGAACGGTGTCTTAAGGTCTGTTCCCCCATCATCACATCCCACATCACATCCCATTCTGTTGTTTCCCAGCTGTGTGTTAACCGGGCTTCTGAGGGCACAGTTGCAATGTTGTCTTTATTTGTGGACCATACGTAGCTATAAAGATGTATATCTACTTAATATTTTTCAAATTATTATTCCTTCAGCATTTACCTGTTGAAAAGGGTTTCTCCCTTTTTTATACCCTACTTTTAGCTATTGGGAAGAGACAGTACCAAACAGAGGTTAGGATTATTAGAATTGAGAGGGAGTTTAACTTCACTAGATTAATCTATAATTCCATAAATTCCTTGACATTCTGTTGGGAAGCATAACTTTTATTTTTACTGAAGCCAGTGGAATTTACTGGGGACCCTGTAATTTAAATTTCCAGAGTAATAACTTACTGATTGATATTTCCCCCCTCATGTAGATCCTATTTTATAATGGAGAAAAATCACAACCATCAAAAACCTTCCTTAAAGGAAAATTTGTATTGTGTTTGATTTTACGAAATTAAATTTTGGGTTTAAATTTGCTTTGCACCCAGTCATCCATCTTACAAACTCTGAACCAAGTCTGGTATCATGACCCAAAACTTGAGGGGTTTTTAAGATGTCAGTTGAAATTAAGTAAGATTTAAGAGTTGCAGTTTCCTTTTAAACACATTTCTTGTTTAAAGTAAGAAATGTGTTTGAATGGCCACTATTTGCAGATACCTTGGGTCTGTGGGCTTTGGTCAAAGTAGGCAGAATTAAGAAGCTTTTCCTTTGAGGAAGCTGGTATTATTTGAGAACTTAAAAGTTCTCCTAGGATTTGTCATCTTCCTTCCATAAAGGAGAAATTGACTTCTTCTGTAATTAAAAAGCTGGAATGTTCTGGGCTTTTGACTTACCAACCTAAAGGATTTTTCCTGCGCTGAAGTAAAGTGAGGGAAGGTAAATAGAAGTGTAAGTAATAGAAGTGTAACAGGTGCCATTTCAGGTCAGAGCAGCTGTGCTCTAACCTTCTGCATCACCTAGAAGGTGTTTTCTGGAGTGTACGTCTGAAGCATCCAAGTTTTCCATAATGAAACTGTGAAATAACACTTTAGTTTCACATCTATTGGCATAGCCTAGATGGAGCATATAGGAGTGACAGAGAGCAAACCAAGCAATGTAGCTCTGCTGTGTACTCCTGCTCTGAGCCAGGTACCCACAGAAATGTCAGCAGTGGCTTTTCCTGTGGGAGCTTCCCAGTCCAGTGCCAACCAATGAAGCAAAATGAAGAATAACTTAGCTGTTTATTGATTTGCACCAGCAACCTGTTGTGAAAATTAGAGTTAAAACTTCCATGCTGCATCCTTGAGGGCTGCAGCTCAGCAGAGCTGGCAGAGCTGGGGCAGCAGGTTGGCTCTGCAGTGCTGGTTCTGCAGACTCACACCGAGTATTGGAATCGATACGTGAAGCAGATCTGCAGTGCACAGTTGTTCTGAAGGGGAAGCATGTGTTTAAAATCCTATTTTTGTTTAATTTTTAAGGCAATCACAGCCTTAAGTGGTTTCCAGATAATTTGCTAGAAAGGGAGCACATTAGGTTGTTGTTTGCAGGCATTACCAGCAAATTATCAATCATTTCTGAAAACCGCTAATTGGAGAAAACAACATAACTGCATTTGTTTTATAATGCTCTGATTTCTGGAAATAATATTCCAGTGTATCAGATGGCTGCATTTGTAGATGGGGTCACTTAAGTAGGTGACTCTCTATTTGCTGGTGAAACACACTGTCCACGGCTTTACCTCTCTTCACATAATGGTCAGTGTTTAGTGTTGCTTCCTTTTTAGGTTTGGTTTTCTTAAGTATGAAATATCTTTGTAGTTCAACTGATCACACACGGCTGAAATAACGTGCCATCCATATTTTTGAAAGAACATTGTGTTTAAATGCGCTTCTGAACAATACAGAAATGGAAAGCACTGATGAAGAAATAACTCAAGTATATTAAGTTGTTGGAGTGCATGTGCCTTTTGTTGTTGTTTTGTGGGGTTTTCTTTAAATATTCATTCTTTTTGTGAAATGTGCTATTTCAGCTGGAAAAGAAAGAAAGGAAATCCTGGGGCCTGAAGCTCAGACAGATGAAATTGGATGTACAGGTATTTCTTTGTTAATCTGAGTCCCTTATTCATAAAGTGCTGTTGAATTTTAGTTAGGTATCATTCCAAAAGCTTTGGAATTCTCCCACCTCGGTTTATAAAAGTGCTTTGCTTTTCCATGCTAGAGGTCTTAAACTGTAAAAGGTGTTTTAGCTGAGGAAAAATGTGTGGGCATCTTTTGGTGTGCAGGGTCCAGAGGTGCAGGTGACCAGGGACACAGAGCAGCCCTCCCTCCCTCCCAGGGACTGACCATGCAGCTCCAGCAGCGTCACGTCTCCAAAGGGCAGAGCAAGGAACAGCAATGAGCTTACATGTAGGGTCAACAGGTAGTGTTTGTAACTATGAAGAAATATACAAAAATAGAGTTACGCTAATACTGTATTTTATTATCCACTCCTTGGCTTGGACTGATTACATAGAAAGCAAAATAAAATGTGTATTTCAATTTCAGACTCAAACAAAAGCAAAGGGTTAGTTATTTTTTCCATTTCTCTGTACGACAGAAGATTAATATATATCCCATCCAACTTCTGAAAGGTTTCTGGGGGGTTTATTTAATGCCCTTACTAGATAGGTAGATAATATCAGAGCAAGTCTTATTTAAAAGCAAACCCAGATCTAAACACGTTGATATGTTTTAAACTCTAGTTTCACCCATTCTTTTCAGTTCTTATATAGTCAGTTCTTGCAGCTATGGAGAGCTGCATTATTCATTGCATTACATGTGAGAGACTGCCTCATGTCATAAAAAGATTGTGTCAAATTTTAAATTGAGTATGTGACTTCACACTGAGAGATGAATCATAAAACTTCTCTTTCCTATTAAAAATATACCTCACATTAATAGTGGAGAACATCTGTAATGATTTAGGGTGCTGCAGGCAGAGCTTTTACAGAACATTCCACCATGGTAAAAATAAACTCTATGAACAATGTATTTAGGCTAATACTTGGGATCAAATATTTATCATACAAGCATTAGGTAAAAAATTTAATTTATTATTTGCCAACTTGGCAATACCGTTGTTCATTGGGCTTTTCTCTTAAGTTTTTAAGTGGGAAGTGTTAAAAGTTGTTAACTAGATCTGAAGCCTTTTTGGTAGCCATTTCCAACACCACAGAACAAGCCAGTCAGAGTTCAAGTTTGCTGCATTTATCTGGCCAGGTTTTTACTGAGTTCAAATATCTTCTGAGTTTGTGCTGATGAACAGCTATAAATAACATTTCAAATTGTGTCTTGAAGGCAACAAATGTACTTTTGCAAACACAGGAGCCAAGATGGTAAACAGGCCTTCCAACTACAAGGCCTAAATCATAATTAATGTTGCATTTAAGATTTTTAGGGAAATTGAGAAGAACAGCTAAATCTGAAATGACAAAAATGCACTGAATTAAGCAAACTGTGTTTAGTCAAGTTTTTAAATACCATTATGCTACCAGTTCTTCCAAAACATGGCATAATCTGGCATCTTAAGGGACTTGACCTATGCTAGTGTCTGTAAAGAGTTTTTAAATACTTGGCTAGAGGGAGATTTGGCAATGTGAATTACTGAATCTCATTTATGTTCTTTTTGAACTTAATTTTGTATCTTCTGTCTTGTTTTTCACACTTAGTAAAAGAAGATGAATGTGATTCTGATGCAGAGAATGAGCAAAACCATGACCCTAATGTTGAAGAATTCCTTAAACAAGAAGATACAGCTGTTATCTACCCTGAAGCACCTGAGGAGGACCAGAGACAAGGCACGCCAGAAGCCAGTGGTCAGGATGAAAATGGTAAATATGTCATCAGCTCTGTTCTTATGAAACCAGTTGTACTCACTCCTTGACCCAAAACTTCTGCTGGGCTTAAGAAGACACCAGTGCATGTACATGAAACTACAGAGGAAAAGAGTCTTAGTTAAATAATTGTAAGAGGATAGGATCATCATGCAAAAAACATTGCCACTTGATTTTGCAAACAAGACATGCACTGGGATTCACTTGTATGAGTACCTAAATGATAACTTAGTCATTGAAGAGAAAAGTTCATGCATTCAACAGAACAGAATAAACATTTATTAAACAAAATAGAAGTAAAGCAAAATAGTACAAATTTGTATAAGGATAACTCAAGGAGAGTTATAACATATTTCTTTCCTTTTTTATATTTCTAAACAAAGCTCCCAATAGGACCTATTATATAGAATTTCTTTTATTGGGTAGCCAGTTTACAACAGGCTTTTGGGTTTTTTTGCCTGAAGGGACAGCAACAGAGAAAAAAGAAGCATTGTTCATATAAAAATGTTTTTGTGGTAAAAATAATGACCTGTTGTTGTTTTTACATAGATGTAGTTTTTTTTCCTCTGAAGAAGGTTCATGCTTAAGGTGTTCTGTGTGAGATGAGTGGTTACACTTTGTTCATTTCTTCATCATGAAGTATTTGAAGATGAATGCTGTTGAGATTGGTTTGGCATTCTGTGTTTTCTCAAGTGTTAGCTTAGATGGCTTGTGTCAATTGGGATATTTATGATTTTTCAAGAAAAGGTAACAGCCTACATAAATGGTTAGGATTTGTGTTCTAATTGTTTTAAGAAATGAGTATAACTGAGCAGATAGATGTAAAGATAACCTTTTTGTTCTGCTCCTCCAGAGATTTTATGCTATTACAGATTTTACTTTAAAAAGTGCATTCATTAATTTAAGATTTTAATATGTGGTTGCAGTGGCACATATTGTCAAGTTAGTTTTACAGACTTGTCATATGATTTCCATGTAATCATTAAAAATACATATTTGTATTAATCATTTAAATTGGACCTATCCCAGTAACTTCACTGAGAAGTATTGTGAAGATCACAAGGCTGAATGATAGTATTTAGTGTTTTAATCATTTTGGAACAGAAAATGCCAAAAATGTAGTGACATTTGGTGAAGATGCATGCTTCCAAACTGGGAAGGTAGACAAGAGAAGTGACAGAATCAGAGTTTTTTGTGATTTTGGGAAACTGGTTTCATTTCTCCATTTCCTCCAATGGAAATAGAATTTAAGCTAACGTGCTTCTGACATTTCCACTGAGTTGTATTTGTGATGAAATGGAGTTTTCTTTATGTCAGATTAGTTGAATTGTAGATGGTAAAAAGAGAATTGAGAGGAAGTATACTTGGTCTACACATGTGGGAATGGCTTTCTTTTTGGACAACTCAGCTAAACCAGGAAAAGCAGAAATGGGTAGAACAACAAAAAAAATCCCAGTGGGTAGAGGTTATTTTGATTGTTACTATAACAAGTATAAAGGAACCTACATGACAGAAAAAGTGATTTTTAGTCATAAGGAAAAGTGATCTGATTGCTTTTCACTGTTGCAAGATCAGTGGCAAGTTCAGTGAAAATCAAGTTAGTAAATTCTACACAAACAGAATTAATTGCTACTTCATAGAACATATTACCAATCTGTGGTGATAACTGCTGGAAGAGGTCATGAAGGTAAATAATTCAGAAGTACTTTCTAAAGTACTGGTTCATTTAATGAGCATTAATAATTCTTACAGTTCTGAAACTTAAAATGACAGCGTGTACAAATGTGCCCCTTGTGCGTCAGAGCATAAAATGTTAATCAGAAAAGACCTTGCACCTTGCTCAGGCTCAGCACAGTGCATAGGTGCATCCTTGCAAAATTTCCTTCCTATTTGACTTGAAGCAAGGAAGAGTAGCATGCTCATTGGAGGATATCACACCTATAAATTGGTGTTTTGATCAAATACAGCAAACCCTAAATTTATTTGATCATACCTTTAGTGATAAATTCATAAAGAAGTATTTTATTCAGTGCTTTAAAAATAAATTTTTCAAGGATAGAATGAGTTGCTGTGTGGAGGGCTAAACATGCTGGTAAGAAGGGATGGATCTAAAACTTCATAAATGGTATCTTCTTGAAGTAGGCATGTGAAAATAATTTTTAGCTTCAGTCTGGTTTCACTTTATCCTGTACTAATACAGAAGTACTTTATGAAAGCCAGAAAAATAGATTCCATAGACCACATTAGACTCATATATATGGCCACACATTTGATCTCTCTACTTTCTGTCCTGCAGACAGTATATCCTACTAACACATACGTTTCTGTAAATCATAGAATGGTTTGGGTTGGACAGGACTTTTAAAGGTCATCTAGGTCCAACCCCCCTGAAATGAGCTGGGATATCTTCAGCTTTATCATGTTACTCAGAACCCTCTCCAAGATGGTCTTGAATATTTCCAGGAACGGGACATTTGCCAGCCCTCTAGCCAACCTGTTGAAGTATTTTACCACCCTTATAATGAAAAATTTCTTCTTTATATTTAGTCTCCATCTACTCTATTTTGGTTTAAAACCATTTCTCCTTGTCCTGTCAGCATATTGTGCTGACTCTCCCCAAGGTACATTGGGGCAATAGTGTGGGAGGTTGCATAATACCTGTGGAAAAAATCTAAATTATCGCAAGTCCTTCTCTAAAACAAATGGAGCTTCCAGCAGCTTCGTGTTCTCTTACAGTGATAGGTGCAAATGTAAAGCCTGTTTGTTGCAGGTAGTAACATTTAAGTCTGGTGCACTGTGTGCCCTGTGTAGGAACTCCTGACGCGTTTTCCCAGCTGCTCACGTGCCCGTACTGCGACCGGGGATACAAACGCTTCACCTCTCTGAAGGAACACATCAAATACCGCCATGAAAAGAACGAGGATAACTTCAGCTGCTCCTTGTGCAGCTACACCTTTGCGTACAGAACGCAGCTTGACCGCCACATGACATCACACAAATCAGGAAGAGACCCAGTAAGTGGCATTTGGAGCATGGTTGTTGTCCTCTGCAGCAACACTGTGGTTTGTTATGTGGGCAGAAAAGTGCAGAGAGAGTAAACTGTTCATAGCAGGTCATCTGTGTGCTCATGGTCCAGGCCCAGAGAACACCCTCAAGCTTGCTGCTCAAGTCAGGCTTTTTCTGTAGCTGTCAGTTCTCAATTCCTGTTTTCATTCATCTAGGCACTAGAGTTGTTTTCAGAAGTGCTTTATTGCATTTGTAGATAATTTGTTGGTATTTTTCTGTTCATTGGCTACCATTGCATAAAAATTATGACTTAAATCTAATTTCAAGCCTTTAATGAAACATTTCCTTTTTTTTTTCATAAGTTCTGTTTGAATAATTCACAATTTACTGTAGCATTTTTGCCCTTAAAAAACAAACCATTGTGTTGCTTGAACTGTGAGGTACAGTTTTTAAATGCAATTCATGCTGTAAGACAATATACAAATAATTAGTGTTTAAATATGGTGTTAAATGTGTGAAATATGATGTTAGCACTAAATGAAGCAGCGGAAAAGGCTAAAGATGTTATGAGCTTGTTTTCTCTGGTTCATGGGCTGACCTGAGGGCATGGGTCCCTGGAATGTCTTCCATGAGTTAACCATCTGATCATAACCATCAGAAGATCCTGAGTCTCTGTTCTCCCATCCCTCTTTTTCTTTTCTTTCTTTATCCCCACAATGTCCCATCATCCATCCCCAGCACATGCTTATCAGAGGCGCTCTGAGGCTCAGGAGCCAGCTGAAACAGTCAGCAATTTTCCAGAGGAAAAAACAAACAGCTTTTCCACCACCAAGTTAAAGAGGCTGGGAGATGTTTCCTTCAGAGGACAGACTGGAAAGATTCATACCCTCCAGAAATGAAATAGGAAACAAATATAACAGAAAAATTTAAAACTGAATGTAAAAGTAAAGGTACTTCCAACATTTCTGGTAGCACCAAACTACAGGCTGTAGCCCAGAGTAAAGGAGGATGTTTTACTTAAGAAAACCAGAGTAAAGGAGATGCTTTTTTACACATTGGCTTTTAACCTCCCTTCTACAAAGTATCACCAAGTCCAACAATTTAACAGGGTTAAAAATTTATGATACATTTTTGTACGCAAGTGTTCACATGCACAGGTCAATTAAATTGGTACAAAAAATATCAACCATCCTGCTGCAAGGATTTTATTGTCTCACAAGCTTTGGAATAACCTCACCAGCATATTCTGGTTTGGCAGTTCTTTTTTACTCAAATGTGCTTCCCATGAGCAATTAATTTTTGTTTCGCTTCCTTTTTGGCTTGGCTTGCACTTTAAAAGTTACTTTCATCTTACATACATCTTATATTTCTAGCTATAAAATCTAGGAGTGCTATTTATATAATGCTTTTCTTGTGGGCTACCACATTTGTTTTCAGTCTTTTCAGTTACAAGCCTAAAACCGTAAGAATAAAGTAGTTGGGGGAGATAGAAGCCATACTTGCATGCAGTTTGAATGAAAAAATAAAAAATACCAAGTGAGTAAACACTCAGAAGAATTGCTAAAAAGGGTAGTTTAAACTGCATTCCCACAAAAATATTTTAATGGATTTATACTTTTGAAGGCACAATTGTATTTGGTTAATGTTGTTTCTATGGAGTATCTGGAAGTCAGTATTACACCCATGAAAGTGTGTTCTTTTCTCTCCAGCCATAGCCAGAATTAAAACTACAATGGTTTAGATACTTGGTAAATGTGAAATACTTGTTTGTGTATGTTATTATTGCAGAATTGTCATGTCTTCAAAATTGGCTGCACATACATGATTACATAATTTGAGTAATGGAAAATTTTGTCATTAGTAAAGTATAGACCTCCTGGCTGTGGATCTTAAACAGCTGCATGTTTAAAACTTGATTTCTTACTGTTAAAGAACTTCACCTGACCATAGATTATTTGAATAACTTTGTTAGCTGGAGACGTCCATCATGTGACAATCTTGAAATTGTTCTGTACAAAGCAGCAATGAGCAAAGATAAAATCTAGCTTAGTGAAGGCAGTGGAGGGCGTACCTGCTCACTGGGCCTCCTTCTGAGCCAGGGGCAGGTACACAAAACTTTACTCCTGCTCCAGCAGAGAGCTGAGAGCCATCCTGCACCATCTTCTTCTTTCCTCCCTCCTCCCCCTGCTCCTCACGGCACCCTTGGCTGCTTCCACACCACTAACAGTTGGTAGGAGGGGATGCTGTGTGTGTCGTCTGCCTTCACATGTGAAGCACCAAAAGGGATGTTGAAGTGTGAAAAATACTTCTTATATTTGTTTTCTTTTTTTTCTCATCAATTTATGAAGCACCTGTAGGTAGTTTTTCAGAATTTCACAGTGTTGTGCACACTGCTGAGAAATGGCAGTTCTTGGAAACATTATCTGTGAAGAAACCCCTGATATACCAGTAATTTCTGTCTGCCAAATAACTTTGGAGGATTCTCATTAATTATTTTTGTTCTCTGGTGTGAGAGGGGTGGGCTTCAGTCCTAAGCACCATAAACATTTGGTGCAGGGATGTATTAGTTAGGGATGTTATTAGGCTAGTTACATTCCTTAATGCTGGTATTTCTTCTTTCAGTTCTTCCAGGAGTGCAGAAGAATATTCTTTGAATGTTGCAGTTAATTCTTTAATGATCAGATATTTCTTTCATGAGCAATTATGTACTGTGTATTAGAAATATATCACATATCTCAGGCACAAACTAACAATGCTGAGATGGGGAAAACCACTTGAAACTGAGAAAAGAAGGTGAAAATATTACAGGTGGTACTTTGGAGAAGTGTTGTGATTTCTCAGTTACATTTAAACAAGCTCCATCAAAGTAATTCTGAGCAGTATTATAAGAGACAGCAAGAAAACTGAACAGAGAGTTACAAATATAAGAAGCTAAGGCAAAATTTCCAAATTAAGATTTGGAAACACTACCTAGCAGAAAGCTTAAAGCACCTCACAGCTATGACTGGGAAAACAGGAAAACTCATTAACATTTTGATAAGTGGAGTATGGACTTCCATGCCTTAGAAATAAAACATTTGATTTTAAAGACTGGAGGAGAAACATTTCTGACAGATTGAATACATGCCCTGATACTTTGTATGAATATTTATGTAGTCCAGGACCTGCAGTAACTGTGTATATCCTGAGTTCTGTTAGCTTGTATAATTCAAGACAAACAGTGGTAACTGATTCTCAGCAGGCTTAAGTAAATCCTGACACGGTCCTCTAGACTCATTGCAGTTGGATCATTTGAAGTGAAATGCAGTGAGTCAGCCACAGTCTTCTAGAACATCATCTTCAAGGGACTTAGAGCTGAAAAGCCATGTGAACTAGCAAAAGACAGCTGGCAAACCTGCTGGATTTGTCCAAACCTGGGAATGAGGGTCTGGTGCTAATCGGGATAAACTCACTGGAGACCTCACTGCAGAGCCCAGGGGGAGGCAGGAAGCAGCTCACCCTGAGCAGGGTGGGAGCAGGATCTGCTGAGAGGCAAAATCTGCAGCTTAACCAACTGCTTCTCCCAGGGGAGCTGTTGGATTAGAGTATGTGGAAGTAATTTAGATGATCTTATTTCAATTTGTCTTCTGTTAAAGGGGGACAGGGAGTAGAACAGGAAGGGTTGATAATTTGGACAGCATATGTCATAGCAGAGAGTTCAGACTTTCATCCAGCAATCTGCAGAGCCACAGGTTCTTCAGATCTGCAGGCATGTCTCACAGCAGGGTCACCATCCTGTGTTTTATCCATCCCTGCTTCTCCAGCACAGTTCTCAGCCCCAGTTGTCATGTCTGTGCTCAGGAAGAGCCCTAGCACCCGGTGAGCATCTGCTCCCAGTGCTGCCAAGTACAGCAGGCCAGGCAGGGGTTCCCTCCATGCTTTCACACCAGAGGCAGCTGATCCACACCTGCTGTTGGTGCTGGGCAGCCTGTTTGTCCCTGGAATCCATGAACAGTTCTGTGCTTGAGTTTATGAGAATCCTTGTCCCAGTTACCAAAAATCTGCAGTGCATCCCAGTAATGGTAGAGTATCTTTTTGCCAAATGAGCTCTATTTAAAAAGGAGCTGCTGGGCTTTTCTAATAAACAAGTTGTTTGAACAGAAAAATTCCTAGCTCCTCTGTTTTATGTTGGTAATTAAGCTGTTTCAACTTTAAAAGTGCATGTAATTTTTGTCCTTAAAAATACACATTCATAGATTTATACAGTTTGTGGTAAAATTACAAATCTTGAACATATGTGTCATGTATATACTACAGATATTTACATGTCTGTCTTAGCTTTTGCTTCTTTTTAAAACTAGTATAGCAATAAAGACAAAAACAATTCAGAATTTAACAATAAATGCTCTCACAAGGCAAAATCTAACAATAATAATCACAGAGCTTCAGTGCAAATGGTGAAGAGGTTTGGTGTTTTGTACTTGGGAAACCCTTCCATATTTTTATTTGTTTTGGTTTAGTTTCTCACATTGATTTTGCAAATTAATTGTGACCAAGAGTACCTTTATTGTCACTAAGCTACCTTCTCTTGAGCAGTCCTGTGGCATCATTATATAGAGGAATCCAAGGCCAACAGTAAGCCCTGAAAGCATGTAAATGGAAAAATCAAGTCAACCGATTAAAGTTTAAACAGGTTTCTATAGACTTTAATGTTTTTCTATCCTGCATGAAATATTCTGTGGGTAGTGGGCTTGGGGTTTTTCCCTAATGGTTTTGCTTTCACAAGTAGAACTAGCATTCATCCTGGAGCTTCCTACTAACATGTCAGTGTAAACTTCACCTGAATTTAGGAGAAGGGGCAACTATATTTTGAGTTTGTTTTGTTTCTTTCTCTTTACTGTATTAGATTTATTCAGAAGAAATGTGTGCCTCCATTTGTACCTGATTTGTAATTTGTTTCCTTTTTCCATACCACCTTCAGTCTCTTACAATTATGGTTGATTCTTTTGGGTTTGTACGGCTTTTTCTATGTTGCAATGTGAAAATAGAAGGTGTTTCTGCAAGCTGCTGTCCTGTGCAATAATTAAGACTTCTTTCTTACAGAGACATGTGACGCAGTCCAGCGGTAATCGAAAATTCAAGTGCACTGAATGTGGAAAAGCTTTTAAATATAAACATCACCTAAAGGAGCATCTACGAATCCACAGTGGTAAATAAATCAAGCTTTGAATTGAGTACTAATGTTACCATTTCTGCTCTTTATAACTTTGTTGTAATAGCAGTCTTGTAAGTCTAAGTTTAAAATACTGGTGTTTTCCATATATTTTTCCCTTTGGAATACTGCAAGCACTGACTGCAGCCTTCAGGTCTCTGCGGGGAATATGTAGAAAAGCTCAAGAGGATTTACAGTTGCAACTTAATCTCTGACATTTAAGGAAAACTTGACTTGTCACAGAAGAAATGGGGGCATCTTTCTGGTCCTTTGCACTTGGCTATTTTTCTTCAATGTTTGCAGATCATTCAGTGTGTTACAGGCCTTGCTAGAGAATTTTAATTGATAATAATCAGGACATAAGAACTGAGTGTTCCTCCTGCGGCTATAATTGACATCATTCCAGATTAGTCATACTAAAGTAGACTCAGGACACAATTTATTGGATAAGTTATAAGAAATCTTATATAAGAAGTTAGAAGTTAGTGGTGGTACTACTTTAATGAAGTTCAGTGAAATCTGTAATTGTCAAATAGAGAAATACTGGAACACATGATCGTGTGGGCTCCATCCTATATCTAGTGGATCACAAACATATTAAAGGAGCCTTGGCTCAGAGCTGTACTCTTACTGTTCAATTCACTAGATAAGATTTTTTTTTCCCCCCTCGGACTCTTTGAGAGGTCATTATGATGTATTTGTTCTGGTAATAATTGTTTGATGAAGTTGCACTGTAACCTCGTTAACGGTTGTATATGCCTTTTCTCTTCTCTTTTTCATTTTTCTTCTGTTTAGGAGAGAAGCCATATGAGTGCCCAAACTGCAAGAAACGTTTTTCCCATTCTGGTTCATACAGTTCACACATAAGCAGTAAGAAGTGTATTGGTTTGATGCCCGTGAATGGTCGAGCCCGGTCAGGGCTCAAGATGTCTCAGTGCTCCTCCCCTTCCCTTTCTGCATCACCAGGTAGCCCAGCAAGACCACAGATACGACAAAAGATAGAAAATAAACCCTTGCAAGAGCAGCTTCCTCTTAACCAAATTAAAACTGAACCTGTGGATTATGAATTCAAGCCCATAGTGGTTGCTTCAGGAATTAATTGTTCAAACCCTTTGCAAAATGGGGTTTTTAGTGGTGGTAGCCCATTGCAGGCAACCAGTTCTCCTCAGGGTGTGGTGCAAGCTGTTGTTCTACCAACAGTAGGTCTGGTGTCTCCCATAAGCATCAATTTAAGTGACATTCAAAATGTACTAAAAGTGGCAGTGGATGGTAATGTAATAAGGCAAGTACTGGAAAACAATCATGCTAATCTTGCATCCAAAGAACAAGAAACAATCAACAATGCATCTATACAACAAGCTGGCCATTCCCTCATTTCAGCTATCAGTCTTCCTTTGGTTGACCAAGATGGGACAACCAAAATTATCATCAACTACAGCTTGGAGCAGCCAAGTCAACTTCAGGTTGTTCCACAAAATCTAAAAAAAGAAAACTCTGTTCCTGCAAATAGTTGCAAAAATGAAAAATTACCACAAGATCTCACAGTGAAGTCTGAGAAAGATAAGAACTTTGAAGGAGAGACCAACGATAGCACTTGTCTTCTTTGTGATGACTGTCCAGGAGATCTTAATGCACTTCAAGAATTAAAGCACTATGAAACAAAAAGCCCTCCTCAGCTTCCCCAGCCCAGTGGAGCAGAAGCTGAGAAACCTGAGTCCCCTGTCCCATCAGAAACCGGGGAGAACAACTTGTCTCCCGGTCAGCCACCTTTAAAGAACCTTCTGTCGCTCCTAAAAGCCTATTATGCGTTAAATGCACAACCAAGTGCAGAAGAGCTTTCCAAAATAGCAGATTCTGTAAACCTACCACTGGATGTGGTAAAAAAGTGGTTTGAAAAAATGCAAGCTGGACAGATTTCTGTGCAGTCTTCTGGACCATCTTCTCCTGAACAAGTTAAATTAAGCAGCCCCACAGACAACGATGATCAAGCAGCAACTTCAAATGTGAGCGAACCCCAGAATGGCACAAGTAACTCACAAAATCCTGGCAGTACAACAAAATCTCAGACTTTACCAGGGGCTTCAACTCTGAATGGTTCACACAGTAGCACGCCATCTGCATCACCACTAAACCTTTCTTCATCAAGAAATTCACAGGGTTACACGTACACGGCAGAGGGTGTACAAGAAGAGCCACAAATAGAACCTCTTGACCTTTCGCTACCAAAGCAACATGGAGAGCTGTTGGAAAGATCTACCATAACTAGTGTTTACCAGAACAGTGTTTATTCTGTCCAAGAAGAACCTTTGAACTTAACTTGTGCAAAAAAAGAACCACAAAAGGACAACAGTGTTACAGACTCTGATCCTATTGTAAATGTAATCCCACCAAGTGCCAATCCCATAAATATTGCTATACCTACAGTCACTGCCCAGTTACCTACAATTGTTGCCATTGCTGACCAGAACAGTGTTCCCTGCTTGAGAGCTCTCGCTGCCAATAAGCAAACCATTTTGATTCCACAGGTGGCTTATGCATACTCTACTACAGTTAGTCCTGCAGTTCATGAGACACCACCAAAACAGATCCAAGCCAATGGAAATCAGGTACTTCGGTCCCCATATTCCTACATGATGTACGTATGATGTATTCAATCTGTACCTCTGCTGAACTAACAGAAAGCTATCAAGGTGAACTAAATAAAAATATAAATACAAGCTATCAGGCTTATTTGACTTGATTGTATATAGGTAATAGATATTACTGTTTGCCCTCTGCAAAGCTAGTTAGCTCAGGCAGCTTGAGTCCAGACTAATGGAAAATGTAATGCATGGACAGCTCAGTTATTCTCCGTATTTAATCTTCTAGGACATTAGTGCTCACTATTCTAAAGACTTTCTAATGCTCCTGATCAAAAAGCAAAATAAAGACATGGCTTTTGTCTTTTGCTGGCTCTGCATCTCCTCTTTCCCCATATTCAGAAAATAAACCCCTTGGAGCTTTTGGTTACTCCTTTTGTGCTGCTCTGCTTCCTTGATTTGCAGAGTAGCTGATTTCATCCTACACTGTAATGTCACTTTAAACAAAATGCAGATATAGTCTCAACTGAAAGTCAGGGAGATATTTATCTTCATCTGCCACTCCTGTATCCCGGCTTGTTCCTCCCTGGGTACACCCAGATGGGATCTAATTGGGGTCAGTCCTCCCGAGAATCACCTGTGAACATTAAGGTAGGGACACGGCAGAACAGAAAAGTGGCTGAGTGTTTCTACTTAAATCTTAGAAATTGGTGGTCTAGCATTTTACTCAGGCTTCTGTGTTGCCAGAGACCGAGGAGCCTTGAAGAGTTACAAGGCTGCTTATATTAAAAATGTGAGGGTAACATGTACATGCTGCTGATGTCAGTAGAAAATACTGTGCTTTTTCAGGGAAGCTTTAGCACTTAAACTGCTTAGAAATACACAGCAGTTATATTTTTGAAAATATTTACTAATGAAAGTACATGAAGTCCCCTGAACTTTGGGTTAAATAGTATTTGTGGTAGTTTCATGAGGAAGATGGTAGTGAAATATGCAAATGTGAATGGTAATTTAAATAGCTTTTCTGTGAAAACTTCAGCAAAAATAGTCTTTTAACTTCATAAAATCTCAGAGGCAAAATGTAGGTGACCAGCATTAGCTGAAAAATGCAGTTAGGTGACAAATTTGCTCTTCCCACTTACTGAAGTGCTTTACAGGTCTGTAATATTGCATTTATTTTATGGGCCCTAAAGTACAGAGTGCCAACGTAGCTTAGACCTGGCCAACAATCATATTTGGATGTGATTAAAACCAGTCCCAGTGAGGAAATCTGCATCTGGATGGTGGCAGGGACTGCAAAGCAGAACAACGCAGTAAAGGAGTTTTCTTTGACTGTGGAAGTCTAAACAATTTTGTTTGGCTCTTTATGGAATTGAATGGGAATAGAAGCTTCAGTTCATGTGAGTGATTTCTTTTATTGGAGTTAACCTATTTTTGTAATTTTTCTGAAGGATGAAAGGCAAGACACTAGCTCAGAAGGAATATCCAATTTAGAAGATCAAAATGATTCTGATTCAACACCCCCAAAGAAAAAAATGAGAAAGACAGAAAATGGGATGTATGCATGTGATTTATGTGACAAAATATTCCAGAAGAGCAGCTCGTTATTGAGACATAAGTATGAACACACAGGTATGTACCAGGAAAAGACTTTTCTGATTCTTATTTTTTTGGTAACATGTAACTGATAATCTCAACTGGAACCCAGTTCTCAGGTGGTGTAGGGAAGTGTAGCAGTCCTTACTGCCTGTGCTAAGCTTTCTTTAGAAACACCTGGTTTTGTGTATTTTTTTGACAGAACAGCAATTCTGTCTTTCTTTAAATTTGTTAGACCTAAACCCTAAATAGAAAAAGGGGAGTTTTTGCATCTGGCTTGTGGATAATCATCTGTGAGCTACAGCCTATAAATGAGAATGTATTACTTCTAATTTACCTTGCCTGGTTATAAATTTTGAAAAAATTAAAAATAAAAGCTGAGGGAAAAAGGATCGTGTGTGTATTTGATACTGTGCATGAAAAACAGTGTGCATATCTGGCATGAAGGATTTTCCAACTGGGCTACATTTATAATGCCCTGAAGTTAACAGCTTCAGCTATTCATTAGACATAGAATCTAACTGCTAATGAACACCCTTTTGGCTTTGATTTTTATTTTTAATTCTCATAGTTGTTCCTTTTGGCTCAGGTTCTGGTATCTTTAGGATATTTTTAATACCTCTTGCTCTCTTATTTCTTCTGTGATGTCTTAAAGTAAGAATTGGGGTTTTTTTTTACTGATTAGGTGCCAAATATATATTGGGTTTTGTATTATATATTGCCAAACATGTATTGGGTTTTGTATTATTGCTGGCTCTGTTATCTTCTCTTTCCCCATATCCATAAAATAAACTCTTTAGAACTTCTGGCTGCTCCCTTCATGCTGCTCTACTTTCTTGCTTGACAGAGTAGCTGAATTATTATATTAATTATATTTCTGCATGTTAGCCTTCTAGTTTTATATCACATATAAAATTAAAAACAGTACAAATTCTTTTGTCTTGATCAATTTTCTCAAGTTGTATTCATTAAGGGTATCTTATTTCATACCTATCCTGTCCTGAGACTCTCTTAACTCTTCCTTTTCCTAGCAGAATTGTTCTTCCTCTACCGGTTTTAACTTCAATGTAACATTCAAAATCACAGAATCATTTAGATTGGAAAAGGCCTTTAAGATCATTGACTCCAGCCATTAACCCAGCACTGCCAAGTCCACTGGTAAACCCTGTCCCAGATGTGCCACATCTGCTTGTCCTTTAAATACCTCCAGGAATGGTGACTCAGCCACTTCCCTGGGCACCCAGTGCTTCACAGCCCTTTTGGTGAAGAAACTTTTCCTAATTTCCAATCTAAACCGCCCCTGGTGCAACTTGAGGCCATTTCCTCTTGTCCTATCACTTCTTTCTTGGGAAGAGAGACCAATATCTGCCTTGTTGCTTGTTTGGCATGAGATGACATGGATGTGCTGGTCACAGGTGTAGTGTGAGCAGAAACCTGATGTCTTACTGTCTTTGTCTTTTATGTCTGAGCTAAGACTGCAAAGTCATTTTGTGTAACAACTTTAAATGTCAAAATCAAAATAACACTGCTAGGCTCCTCATACATTTATAAGAAACTCTAAAAACAAGACAGTAGCTGGAAAACAGCAGAAATACACTGAGTGAAACAGTGTATTTCATGATTTTTTTTTTCATGTCAATGCATGCGTAGTGAGCAAGTTTTGTACATAAAGCATTCAGCCTAGACTTTAGAATGATTTTCCTTTTACTTGTATCATGGAAGGACTTCATACACCAAAACTAATGTAAAAGCTTAGCTAATTTTAAATTGCCATCAATATAGAAAAGTTAAAATGGTTTCAATTGAAAATAATTTATGCAAGAAAAATGTCTGATTTTCTAATTTATATTTGCACTTTTTGGCGCTAAAAGTCATATATGAGAATCTCTTTATGAGATGATGAGTTTTCCTAAAAAACTTAGAAATTACTGTAGTGATTGTGACAATGTACCCTTGCACCTTCAGCCTTTGGGCTCAGGAAAGAGACTCAGCCTGATAATGCATGGAGTAGAACATCTTGTTATATAAAATTTAATCAATGCTAATAAGTTCACCAACAGCATTTTACAGTGAAAACAGCAGTGTACAATTTTAACACTTCTGCTACAAGATGCCCAACTGTTTGTGCTTTATTTTACAGGTAAAAGACCTCACGAGTGTGGAATCTGTACAAAAGCATTTAAACACAAACACCATTTGATCGAACACATGCGACTGCATTCTGGGGAAAAGCCCTACCAATGTGACAAGTGTGGAAAGAGGTTTTCCCACTCGGGCTCTTACTCTCAGCACATGAACCATCGCTACTCCTACTGCAAAAGGGAGCCCGAGGAGCGTGACAGCGCCGAGCCCGAGGAGCTGGGCCCCGAGGCGCTGAGCAGCGAGCACACCCTGCCCAGGGCGTCCCCCTCGCAGATCGACTCCGATGAGAGGGAGAGCCTGACCAGGGAGGAGGAGGAATTCAGTGAAAAAGAGGAAGAGGAGGAGGAAGAAAAAGACATAGAGGGACTTCAGGAAGAAAAAGAATGTAGGGAACTACAAGAAGTAGGGGATGCGGAAGAAGTAGCAGCAGTAGAAGAGGAAGAAGGGAAAACTGAAGGTGACAAGAATGATGAAGTTGTAAATCAAGCAAGCAATGCAGAACCAGAAGTTATACAAAATAATGGGCAGGTGTCAGAAGAAAACAATGAATAAAGCTTACATGCTAGGTTTTTTCTATAAGGAAAAAAAAAATTGGTAATGAAGTTCCTTCTATATTATACATGCTTTTCATGGAAACGCAGTAGCCTGCATACTGTGATTTCTGTTCACTACTGTGTAAAAAAATATATATATAAAAAAAATTAAAAGAAAAAAAAAAGAAATCCAGGTGTGCCTGAACCTCAAACTTAGTAATTTTTCACACAGTTTTCAAAGTTAGGAACAAGTTTATAACATGAAGCAGATTAGAAAAATACAGTGACTCTGGAAGCAAAGATTTACCAGGTTGTAGAAAACCTGATTATTAGACAAGCATCTGGCATTGTTTGTTTTATCAGTATTAATTTTCATTCTTAAGTTGATTAATTTTTAAACTGTACAATTGGGAGAGATTTATATGATTTTTTTTTTATGGTAAAACATTTCCTAAATCCGCTTCAGTATTTTCTTATGTTTTACAATGTGAGAACTTCTGCACTACAAAATTCCCTTTTGCAGAGACATGTAATGCAGTTGCAAACAGTGCTTGGCTACCTTTGTAAATTCAACCTAGAAGGTAGCAGTTTATGACATTAGATGTTGTAGTAGAGCATATTATCATTTAAAGTGTATTGTTAGCCTTAAGGAAGAAGATGATAGAAGAAATGAAGTTTCTTACTCATGTGGTTAAAAATGTAGTTGAGAAGATTGTCGTTGAGTTCTGATTGCAGGGACTAACAGTGTTAATACTGGTAAGGACAGGAAAGTTGTCAAAAACAGTGTTTGTAATTGTGTTTTGAGTATGTAGTAATGATATGAAGGATTTGATATGAAGCTTTGTATCTCCTTTGGCCTTATGCAAGACCTATGTGCTGTAAGTGCCATTTATCAGTATTACAAAGGCTCTAAGCAGCCTTTATCCAATGTGTGGCCTACAATAACTAGCATTTGTTGATTTGTATCAAACTTCTAAACTATTCATGGGGAAAAAACACTCAGCCATCAGAGAAGTAAGAACACTGGTATATTTCATTATTTAATTATTTGGTGGTATTTTGGGTTAATACCTGACTTGCAGAATTTCTCTACAATAATTACAAGGGAAATTTTCTAATCTGCTTTATTGCTTTATTGGTTTACTTTAATTTCAGACACATACATGACATGTTATCTGGCTCATAAGTATTTTCAAATGTTAGTTATTATGGACCCCATTTATTAACAATGTTAGCTGATTTTTACCTATCAGTATTATTTTATTTCTTTTAGTTTATAGATCTGTGCAACATTTTGTACTGTATGTCTTCAAACCTGGCAGTATTAATACCCTTCTTACTGACATATGTACCTTTTTAGTTTTAGAAAACTTTTATATTTATGTGTCTTATTTTTATATTTCTTTATTTATTACACAGTGTAGTGTATAATACTGTAGTTTGTATTAATACAATAATATATTTTAGTATGAAAATTTGGAAAGTTGATAAGATTTAAAGTAGAGATGCAATCGGTTCTCTTGCATTGAGATTTGATTTAACAGTGTTATGTTAACATTTATACTTGCCTTGGACTGTAGAACAGAAGAATTAAAATGGGAATGTATTAATTTTACAATTGCAATCAATTCATTTTACCTTTACCCAGTTTTTAATATAAAGCTCTTAAATTTTGAAATTCACTGTGTGACTAATAGCATGATGCTCTGCAGTTTTATTAAGAGATTAGTCTAACCATAAAACTCTCATTTCCTTAGTAAGCCAAATTAGAATAATCTTATAAAACAGTGTTGGGAACAATGTTTAACATTTTTGTGCCAATTTGTTCCTGTATTCATGTATGTATGTTACAAATCTGAAACTTCATTTTTAAGTTCCTTGTTACATCATGGTCATTTTCTAGTTTTTTACCAGACTCCCCATCTCACAATAAAATGCGTCAACAAGTCTGACTTACTGTCATTATTCTGGTAATGTAGAAAGTGCATTTAAATGATTTCTATGAGAAGTTACTGAGACACAGCTCCTGCTTCAGTGGCAGTCCTGGGTTTCAGTGGTACATAAGGAGCATGGAAGTGAAAGAGGGGTTTGAACTGTGTGCAGGCACAGGGATTGCTACATTAGTGCATTGATTTACCAATGTCAGGAAAACAACTGAGTTTTCCAAATGAACCATGTGCATTGTTCTTTTGGGTCTTTTTATTTTGCTGTACCTATCTAATGTACTGTTCAATGCTATTTTTCAATAAGACTGCTTTTAAATGAAATAAGTCTACAACTGTTTTCTTGACTTAGCAATAAGTTGTCCTTGGAAAGGCTGATGTATCTTTTGCTGTTGAACTTCACAAAGATACAATGCCAACATTGCAGATATATAATTTCAGTAATGTAAGTATAAAGGCTTGAAAATTTTAATATATATGCATGATTACAATGTTTTGCCATTCAAGCAAAGTTTACAGACTGTTCTTTAAGCAAAGTTCTCTTCTTTAATGATACCTAAAATGGAATTTCTGTTATTAATATGAGGGCAGGGAGTTCATGAACATTATGTACGATACTTTATATTCACATACCTAAGTTTTGAGTATTTCTCAATCTTATTATCTCAGTATTAATGCATACAGAGGATTTCTCCCATATAGTAATAATTTTACTTCCTGTGCATCTTGCTGTACAGTGTATTAATACTGCACTTTTAGTAAATGTCTACCTTCATAGCATCATTGAGCTAAATATGTGAAAGCTGTTTTGAAGAAATCAACCATTTATGCTGCATTAATTATATTGTCTCGTAATTATTATCATAACAGAGTTAATCAGGTGGTTCAGAATTTCTCCCAGGTAGAACTATCTCTGCTCTCTTTTAGGTAATGAAACACACTTTCTTGAAACTATTCTAAGATTTTCATATTTTTCATATTCCAAGATGTTTGTGGTAATAAACCCAGTGAGACATTTGCTGAAATGGGAAAATTTTATTGTCTTTAGTAGCAGAACAGAGAATTTTGGTAAACCTAAGGTTTCTCATGTAAGTGACAGCTGAATATAGAAGGCCAGTAATTTGGATAGAAAGTAAAGTCCAAGCAACTTTTACTCAGGATATGTCATTGTTTTAGGGGACAGAATTTATATTCATTACTTACACTATGTTATTAACATTTTTATCTTCAAAATAGATTGGTGCATTGAGTTTTGCATCTGTCAAGCTCAGCAATGTCTTTGGTGTTTGTGACTTTGTAATATCATCTGTTACCTGTTTGAAAAACACAGAAATTGTGGTGTGTCTTCATTTAGTTGAGCAAACTCATGTGGAAGCCAGAGGTGCTTAGAGGATGTAGGCACCATTCCCAGCCCCAGCAGTGAGATTCCAGCAGTGAGGAAGCTCTGTGTGTGTGGAGGTGCCTGGGCAGCTGTGACCAAATCCAGGCCCCAGGGGAGCAGCAGCAGCCCAGCTGTGGCCATGTGGGTTTTGTGATTTTGTGACCTCTCTAAATTAATGGCAAAGCAGTTTCAAGGACAGTAAGTTTCTCACATAAAAAAGAAAGCCTTTGGTTCTGTCCCTTAGAGATAAAGAAAAGTTGGGAAAGAGCAGTGAACATGAACTGTGTAGTTTTAATGAAACTCCACTATGCTATGACCTGTTCTTCAGTCACAAGATGAAAAGTCCATCATCTGCCCTGTGTGCCCAAGCTGATGTCTGTGCCTGCTTCTTCCTCAGGCTCACCATGCATCCCTCATCCTGGCACAGCACTCAGGGAGCAGGCTGGGAGAAAGAAAAGTGTCCTTGGAATTCAGCATGGGACAACCCTGCTGTGCCTGGGGCACTAGTTTTATTTCTGCTACTGACCTGTCTCCAGAGTATAATGAACCACCACCTCAAAATCAGTTGTAGTAGCTAAATTGTGGCAGTTGTATGTGTTTAATCAAATAATACGAGAATTGGGAAAATGTTACAGAATAACTATAGGAACACTGTTGCAGAAGTAAATACTACGTTTTGGCCCTGGGATGGGAAATACACTTAGCTAATAGGAAAAGAAAGAAGAACTTAAGGCTATAGAGAAAACTTCAAGGAGAGAAAACAGAGAATACATTGAAGATACATTGAGGAAGAGTAACTGCTTCTTCTCTTTCAGTAATACTCATATGGGCATCCCAGTGGTGATTTTGGTGGCATTCCCAAATTCTCCATAGCCACATTGCTGTCTAGTTGCTGTTTTTCTGGGGCAACCTATCCGTGTGTGTAATCAATAACACAGAAATAGTCAGCAATGCTGTATGATGAGCTTGAAAGGTTTTTTAACGTATTGCATTCCAAATAGATTAATGGATGCTTGAAAAAGAAATGAAAAAGTTTTCATTTTCAGCAAAAGCTGAAAATGTTTTCATTTCTCAGCAAAAGCTGAGATTAGCTTTTGCTAATCTCAGAGTTACAATGGGCTTCAGTAAATTTTAGTAGAATAATACACTATGGCATATCAACCCAGAACATAACATATTTACCCTAAAAGGCAGTGTTGTTCAGACTCAGTAAAAATTGCTTCAACTACCAACAAGTGTTGTACTCACACTCTTGAGGGAAATTATTCTAATGCAATTATTGCTGGTAAACCCAAAGTCTGTACAAGCAGCACTTTGCCCATGTTTGTGCTGGCAAAGTGTACCTGGGATGGTAGTAGCTACTGAGTGGCAATTTGAAAGCAAAGCTATTTCCAAGATAGAAAACATGACACTACTAAAAGTTCAGGTTTTGCCACAGTAAAATGCTGCTCTGGGGCTTTTATCATCAAAGCAATGAAAGATCAGGATGTGACACTCCAAACCAACATAGAAGTCTATAAGGGAGAAATGAAAATACTTCTTAGGGTGCAGAAGATGATTAGAGGTGAAGGTAATGGTGTGAGGATGAAAAAAGTCCATTTTGGTCCTGGAGGCTGTAGTGAAGAAAGGTGATGGAGGAGGAGAGAGAAAAGGGCCTAATCTGCACTGTGCTGAGCACTTCTTCAAAGTGGGTTCTTTCTAATTTATTTACTACCAGTTGTGTGAGTCTGCACACAATTCTCTGCTTGGATAGAGGTTTTGATGTGTGTTTTGCAGTTCACAATCTGGTGCTTTAAAAACTACTTTTTTTATCTTTCCTTGGCAGAATAGCTTGTTTAATTGTTGCTACAATAATCTCTAGGTTTCATCTGGGAAATTCAATATCAGAGTATCTTTCAAGTCTGTGCTTTGTCATTTATTGTTCATATTTTTCTTGAACAGCTGTTATAATTATATTTGCACAATCTGATTATCACCAAAAAAAAAAAAAAACCACAAAAGAATGTGATGAACCAAATTAACTCTCAAAAGTGATCAAAAATTTACTACTTTTGTTTTATCCCTCTGCTCTTTCATGGCCTCTGGTTGCTAATCTGTCACATAGTCCTCTTATTTGTGTAAATCATGTCTATCATACACATTGTATCTATGTTGTCTCTAGGGAGAACAATATATTATTATATATTCACTGCTTCACAAAAAGTAATCTGCTTTTTAAAAACTGATTAAAAATAAACCAGTAGTTTGGACTAAATATGAAATGTGCTGATGAAAGGAGCACTTTTGTGGCAGAGCTTGTCCTAGTAGCTTGCCAAATATGAAAGTCTTGTAGTATTAACCTAGAATTAGGTAAAGTTCTCTAAGGCCTTACCTCTACACTGGCAGATCCCCCAAAGGATCTTTAAAAATTATGAGAACAGTGGCAAGTAATCTTTAGAATACCTATTTGAGAATGCCATTTTGGTTTTCTAGTGAGCCTCAAGTCCTCTGATTCTGCCCTTAGATTTTGACATTTCTGTATTGGGGACTGTCCTTGGGTTTTGCTCATCATTGTGTAAACTAGGCTTTGTGTAATGATCACAAGATTTACATTCTGTGTTAATTCAGGAATGAAGGGGATAAATTATTAAATGAAAAAAAAAAAGAAAAGCCTGAAACATGCCTACACGAACTTTGTGTCATTCCTGCTGAGCTTCTGTTCTACCTGGAAATCCTGCTCACTTGTAGCTTTGGGCCCAAAGAAAGAGCAGCCTTACAGCACGTAAGATGGCTGGATCCTATTCCCATCTCTTGCCTCTTAACAGCTCTCTCTTTAGCCAAATTCTGCATGGATATCATCAGATCTCTTGAATTCTGTGAAACTTTGTATATTTTTAATTACAGGTAAGCTATTGCAAAGATATAGAGGGAGCATTTTACTCTTTTAGTGTGCAAAAATAAAATCTGCTCAACAAAATTGTTCAAGAGATAAGTTAATTGGAAAATAATGTGAAATCCTGAAAAAAAAAACACGGGTTCCCAACAGGTTTGCAAGTTCCTATACTCAAAAACGGTATTTGGAATCCTACTCCCTCCTCAAACCAAGTGAATCCAATAATGGGACAACATTCCTGTGGAGAAATGGGACATTTCTCAACTTGTTTTGCCCTGGCTGAGCATAATGCTCTCACTGGTCCTCTCCAAGCCAGGAGCTGAGCTGAGACTTGCACAGACTCTGAGTCCTTGTGATCAGAAAAGGCACAGCTCCTCTGTTGGAGTGAGGAGGAGGGAGGTTTGACCCTTCTGGGAGCTGGAGTGGGTTGTCCTGCCAGCTGTGCTTTGTTGTGAGCTGCTTCCCTGCTGGCCAGGCAGTGTTTGCAGTGGCCACAGTTAAAGGGTGACCTGGGCAAATGATCTCAGCTCTGGTTGCAGAGATAGGAGGGGCTTCCATCAAGGCAAGCTGGCTAAGCTGACCTCAAGTCAGGTTTTCTTCCCCAGTTTAGACAGCTCCAAGGAAAGCCTCAAGCACAAGCCAGCAGTAATGGAGGAGCTGCTGGCTTGCATTGCTCAAGCCCAGAGAAATCTGTCCCTCAACCTGTAAATTACAAATTCTTGAGAGTAGTGACTTATGTTCTCCAAAACATGGTAT